GGAGGTGAATTCCAAAGAAAAAATTGTGATTGAGAATTAAGTGACTTTCGGAGCGAGGTAAGTGTTGTGTCTAACCCTGACTTGAGGAAATTAGGAACCTTAGATTACTTGCTAAGTGAAATTCATATGCACGGCGTATATGTGAGGTGACGAGTACTTATGCGCCGCCAATTTACTTGTTTTCCATGTTTCTAGGTTTTTCTTATATTGTCTCATTCTCATGCCAAATTGTTATGTGTTATACTAGTGTTGCTCAATTTATCGTTCTTATCATATTTACGGAATTTCTGGTGATAATTGAGTTTTTATTTCAAAGTTGAAATTGATGTTATGGAACCAAATGTTGAAGTAAGGTTTTTACTTGTTATTCTATCTCCCTGTTGTTATTTATGCATTGCATTATGGTAAGAGAGAGTGTTAATGCACGAAGGGTGATGTCGTGCCATATTGTGAGTGTTAATGCACGAACGGTGATGCCGTGCCATATTGTGAGTGTTAATGCACGAAGGGTGATGCCGTGCCATATTGTGAGTGTTAATGCACGAAGGGTGATGTCGTGCCATATTGTGAGTGTTAATGCACGAAGGGTGATGTCGTGCCATATTGTGAGTGTTAATGCACGAAGGGTGATGTCGTGCCATGATATGAGAGTTAATGCACGAAGGGTGATGCCGTGCCGTTTCTATTAATTTTATGGTGAGATTGAGAGTAAAAGCACGAAGGGTGATACTGTGCATTTTTTTCCTTAATGTATTCACTATTCCTGTTGATTCATGGTATATTGACTGCTCCGGTGATCATTCTGTTGTANGGTGATCATTCTATTGTAGTTCTTTATCTTATGTTCCCCTCAGTATGTTTCCCTCTCGACATTTCCTGTTTAGTGCTTCATTTCTGTTATTTGCATATATACTGTTAAATTGTACAGGTTGATTTGTAGGTGCCTTGCCTTAGCCTCGTCACTACTTCGTCGAGGTTAGGCTCGACACTTACCAGTACATGGGGTCGGTTGTACTGATACTGCACTCTGCACTTTCTGTGCAGATTTTGATACCGGGTCGGGTTGATCGAGATTTTGCTATTGGTCCGCTGTCCGGAGACTCAAGGTAGATCTATCGGCGTTCACATGCCTTGAAGTCCCAGTCTATCTTTTCTGTTCCACTGTTTCTTTCATTTATACAGTTGTATTTCTTCAGACTATTACTTGTAGTAAATTCTAGAATGCTTGTGAATTGTGACTCCAGATCCGGGTGATAGTAATTAATACAGTTTTATGATATTCCGCACTTATTATATTTCATCTTAGTTAATTACGGAATGGGAATAAAGAATTGATTTAATGATTCTCTAATGTTGGCTTGCCTAACAAGTGAAATGTTAGGCGCCATCACGGTCCCGTCGGTGGAAAATTTCGGGTCGTGACAAAATCACAAATTGCACATCAGGTGCTCAAATCTTATAACATATCACAAATTGCACATCAAGTGCTCAAATCTTACAACATATCACAAATTGCACATCAAGTGCACAACTATTACGTGCCACAGAAATCAACAATAGATTAATTTCCACAATAAGGAGCTCATGGCTCGACCATAATGTGCACAACTCCCAAAAACAATCAATAAAGATAGAAATTATTCTACATAAAGCAAAGTCTTCATTAAATTCAAATTTTCAATAATTATATAAACACCTCTTCTTAAGCTCATTTAATTAATTATTTGCAGAGGAAAAATCCATAATGAAATTAAATTCCAATAATTATCAAACCAACAAATTCACGAAATTACATAAATAATCAAGTAACAATCACATCAAATTGTCATATAACAACATATTCAACAACAAGAAGAAGGATTTAGGCACGACAAATAGATGATTAAATATATACCAACAATTATCCAATTTACCACACAATATGCTCAAGACTTTAACTCAATATAATTTACACATACAAGCCCCCGTACGTACTCGTCACCTCGCGTACACGGCTTTTTACATTTCACAAATGGCACATAAGACTCGATGCCTAAGGGATAATTCCCCCACTCGAGGTTAAGCAAGACACTTACCTTTTTGAAATTAGGCCGATATTCCAAAATCGCCTTCTTGCTCGAATTGACCTCCGGAACGCTCAAATCTATCCAAATTAATTGCATAACTTCATCAAAATTCGTCGAAAAAAATTTTGGATAATAATATGTCGACTTAAAAATTTATTCCAAAAAGTCAACAAAAGTCAACGAGGGGCTCGCCCCTCGGAACCCGACATAATCTTCATGAAATCCGAACACCCATTCCGATACGAGTTCAATCATAACAATTTTATCAAATTCCGATAACAACTCGACCTCCAAATCTTAAATTTTTATTTTTGAAAGATTTTGTAAAAATCTTGATTTCTTCTATTTAAATCCGAAATAAATGATGAATATAACCATAGAACCATGAAATATAATCACTTTAGGATATAGAAGACTTACCCCAATCCATATGGTGAAAATCGCCTCAAAAATCGCTTCAATCCGAGCTCCATAGCTCCAAATATGTTAAAAATGGCTGAAACCTCAAAATATAGCTATTGTCCAGGTATTTACTCTTCGCGATCGCGGAAAATACTTCGCGATCGCGAAACACAAAATTTTTCAGCTCCAAAATTGCTCTTCGTGATCGCGTAAAACCATTCGCGATCGCGAAGAACAAACTCCCCAACTCTTCCAGACAGCCTCTAGTATAATGGTCATAACTTTTTGTACAAAATTCCAAATTATGAATGGTTTAACTTTCTGAAAACTAGATTCCAAGGGCTATAGCTTTCATTTGTTGCCCATCTCCCAATTCCTTATATATTTCGAGATATAAGCTTCCAAAGTCATCCCTATGCAACAGAGATTTCCAAACTCTTCACGGACAGCCTATAGTATATCTACCATAACCTTTTGTACACAACTCTAAATGACAAATGGTTTAGCTTTCTGAAAACTAGACACAAAGGGCTACAACTTTCGTTTTTGGATCATCTCCAAATTTCTTATAGATTACGAGGTATAAGCTTCCAAAGTCGGATCAGTGCATCAGAAAATTTCCTCTACGCGATCGCGAAAGGCCTTCCGCGATCGCGATTCACTGGCCATTTTCCCCCATTTTGTGCTTCGCGATCGCGGCCAATTCCACGCGATCGCATAGTACACTGTTGTAGCCAAAAACCAGCAGCTATAAATGACCTAGAAATGGTCCAAAACCATCCCGTAACTCACTTTAACTCCTCGGGACCCCGTCCAATCACACCATCCAGTTCCATAATATAACACGGACCTGCTCGAGGCCTCAAATCACATAGAACAACATCAAAACGACGAATCAAATCTCAAATCAAAATCTATGAACTTTGAACTTTCAAATTCTATGTCTTGTGCCGAAACACATCATATCAATCCGGAATGACTTGAAATTTTGCACACAAGTCATAATTGACATAACGAAGCTATTCAAATTTCCAGAATCTTCCGACCCCGATATCAAAAAGTCGACCCCCTGGTCAAACTTTCCAAAAATTCGACTTTCGTCATTTCAAGCTTAATTCCACTATGGACCTCCAAATAATTTTTCGGACACGCTCCTAAGTCCAAAATACCCAACGGAGCTAACGGAACCGACGGAACTCCATTCCGGAATCGTCTTCACACATTCCCGACTATGGTCAAAATCCTAAGACTTAAGCTTCCGTTTTAGGGACCGAGTGTCCCAAATCACCCCGAATCATCCAGTAACTGAATTCAACCACGCACGCAAGTCAAAATCTAATACGAAGCTGCTCAAGACCTTAAGTCGTTGAACGGGGCGTTAATTCTTAAAACGGCAAGTCGGGTCGTTACATAGATAAAGACCATCAAAAAATTGCTCAAATAGCGAGCTCTTCAAATAATCCAAGCATTAAATGCATTTAGCGAGCTCTTCAAATAATCCAAGCATTAAATATGCATTGTACCTCATTCTATAATGGGAAAAGGGCCAAATATACCCCTCTACTTTCATATATTGTCTATATTTAACCTCTGTTATACTATCGGGCCAAATTTACCCCTAGTGTTATACTATCAGGCCAAATTTACCCCTACAATTGGCAAACTTTTAAAAATACCCCTTGATCTGTTAAGTAATCCAAAATCTCCCAAATTTCTTTTATTTAAATCACTTGTTGTTCTTCTTAGTCCACTATTTTTGAAATAATTGGCATTTACCTGCTTTCTGAATTAGGAAAAAAAATAAATTAAATAATACAACCGAATAAATAAAGTATAGTAAATTGAAAAATCTAAATTATGTAACTTTTCTAAATTTTAAAAGTATTTACAACATCATAATTTTAATGAATTCGCTGCACCAAATGTATGGAGACTTTGCGAGTATTAGTAATTGAAGTTGAAGTTTCTCGGAGACTTTACATTGTCTAATTCAACTTTGCTTTAATTAAATGCTTACACATTTTGCACTCTTAAGTTAGTCGATCGAACTCTATACTAACCAGACAATGACAAAATATATTTGAATATACATGTACATACATGATGATCAGCTGCATATAATATATAATAAATAGACCCATTAAATTCTACGGTGTGTATATGATTGAAAAATAAATAAAATTTTAAACTAATTTTATTTATTACAAAAAGAGAAATGGGTGCATTGGTAATAAAAAAATCATGAATAATTTGTATAGTCTAGTAACTTTAGCATTCACATCAATAGTAATTTTTTAAATTAAAATAGTGGACCAAGAAGAACAACAAGTGATTTAAATAAAATGAATTTGGGAGATTTTGGATGACTTAACAGATCAAGGGGTATTTTTAAAAGTTTGCTAATTGTAGGGGTAAATTTGGCCCGATAGTATAACGGATGTTAACTGTAGACAATATATGAAAGAACAAGGGTATATTTGACCATTTTCCTTCTGTAATCCCATTATGAAACAATCAACAAGACAAGCAATGTGGATATAATGGTTTATGCATTAGAATTAAGATAATGGTTTTAACGGGCACCAAATAGTTGATCGTCCATAAATTCAGACATCTGGGGTACTACAGTGATGATACTTTTTATGGGAAAGCATATTGATTGATATGAACTGTATAGTGTAGAACAAGAAGACGGGGACTACTGCTATCTATGGAAACTACCTCTACTTTCAATACCTTATGAAGAGCCATATAAGTTGCGGCCACAGCGGTCACAGACACTAGAGGTAGCATGGGAAACTGTTGCTGGCTTCTCTTTCTGCATCTTCAGTAGATCAACTTCAAAAACATCATGCAAGGCCTTAGACCCTTCTTGGAGCTCCTCCAAACTGTCAATACAACAATAAGACAGTTGAGTGACATATATATATATATATATATATATATATATATATATATATATATATTAGAAGTGGGAAGCAGCTGAGGCAGACATCACTTCGCCGACATGCCAGCTTAGGCTGCTATATTTTTGCCACTATTTTTCTATTTTATTACGTTGAATGCCATAAGTGACTTTTAGAAAATAAAGGAAACTNTATAATATGCTTAGCCCTCTTACATTACATACATAAGACTCCAACTCCGACATTATTGAGCAATCAGAAACATAACTTGACAATGAGAAAATATTCGCATTCCTTAATTTCAAGTACAATGCTGAATTATGTTATGGGCTGAAAGTTAATTATTTGATTTCATTTCAAAAAGGTAATAATTTTACTGTACTTTCAATTGAAAAGCAGCAAAATAATCATTATCCTGGAAAAGAAGGAAAAAAGAGAGGTAAACTAACATCTCCTATGATACAAGTACAGTAAGGCAAAGTCTAATCTCCTATGATATATTTCAGTTTTCGAAGGCTATGAATTTTCATTTTTGGAAAGCCAATAGCACAATGTTCTACAAACACATGGATATACTGCAAGGACATTAGTTAGAGTTAGGAACTAATTCAATATAATGTAGCAAGCGGCAACTCAGCGGAATTGAGGAAGAGATTTCCACCTTCTCCTCAAAAGAATACACGTAAAAATTTCTTTTAATAAGTAGCAAAAAGGAATGGTTAGGGACACTATAGAAGATGAGTTGAAGTGGGAATATTGGAGGTGAACAAAACTTGTCTACATGTTATAACAGGAAACATTCTCCTACAGAAAAAAAAAAAAAAAAAAGAAAAAAGAGAAAAAGGAAAGATAGAGGATTATACTGCTGATAATTCTTTTTTTTGGATTGTTTATACTGCTTTATCACAAGAAATGGTACTCATATCTCCAAAAAAGAAAAAGAGAAGGGGGGGCAGAAACTATAAAATTCTGAAAAAAGGGCATACCTCATCGACAGTGGGGGCGTCAAGCGTATTATAGAATCATGAGTTGGCTTAGCAAGAATTCCTCTCTCCTTCAGTTTCATACATATGTCATAAGCTGTCACAGGTAATAAGGACTTGCTATTAAGCTCCACAGCATTGAATAGGCCTTTCCCTCGAACTTCTTTTATGAAATTAGGAAACTGCTCTTGAACCTTCATCAGCTGATGTCTAAGTTGCTCTCCCATCTGAGCAGATCTATTATCAAAGAAACCATTAGTACAGATTGTGATTTTCAAAAGTTGCTGATTACCAAAAAAATATGAATGCAGGATCTATCAGGTGATTTATACAAAAAAGATTTACGACATGACCACAAAACTTCTATCACGTAGCCAGTGTAATTCATCTGTTTTCCTGCCCAATTATGAGCAGAGGAATTACTCCCTACATGAAGAGCATTTCATGCTAAACATCGTAAGTTTGACATTATTTCTGAAACATTCCCTACCCCTCTCCCACAACACCCGACCCTTGGGCCAGAGGCAGATGGAGCCACTATATATGCAACAAAACATCTGGTGTGAGGGAAGGAATTTGATACCTCTCTGCAAGTCCTTCTTCTCTTATTACGTCTAAAGATGCAATTGCAACTGCACTAGCCAAAGGATTCCCCCCAAAGGTGCTGATGTGATTGAAAAAGAAAAAAAGGCATGTATCATTATACAGAAACAAATTTAATGGAAAGAAATAGAAAGCATACACATAGTCATGACTGTAGTGATCTATGGTAGTGGTATATAGCAAGGTCAAAACCAGCTATAAGCCCAATTCAAGTCCATTTAAAATCGTAAGGGTAAACCTCACACAGAGCAGGATTTAAAATTTAATAACTTTTTCTTCAAATACATTTACTGAAACAGAAGAACCGGAACACAACATGGTTTTAATTTAAAGCAACAATTTCCACCTTAAAATCATAGCCATTGGAAGATTAAAGCCGGTCGTCCACACTGCAGGACGGTGGTTTGACTAGCAACGATTACTAGTATAACTATATAGGGAAGAAACTGAACCTCAATGCTGACAAGAATTGGATATAAAATCTTGGCGTGTTGTACAATGAAGAAGAATTAAGAAATTGGCACTAAACTATCGACTCCTCCAGGTTCTAGTATCTTTCCAGTCTTTTTTTTTTTTTAAATAAGGAAAAAACAATAAAGACTGGAAAGATACTAGAATATGGAGGATTAGGCTTAGTCGATAGTTTAGTCGAGGCAATCTTTATTCTCCTTCACAAGCCATAAAAGCACCATAAGGTTCAAATAAAAACATTTTTATCCTATTAACAAGCACTCCATCATTTCATAATTTTTTGAGCAACACCCAAGGCATCATTGACATCAATAAAACATAGAATTGTGCAAGTCAAATGAACTCGAGAAAGTTGATCGGAATCCATAATTTGCTCTTTTCAAAGTAACTAACTCATCGGAAATTAACTGCAAGTCAAAATAAATTAACAAACAGTTGCGAGAAATTCTCATATAGCAATTTGCAACCTTCCATGCTCTCCGGCCTGAATGCAAAGCATAACATCTTTATCTGCAAGTACAGCGCTCACAGGCAACACTCCACCACCTAATGCTTTTCCCAATATCTGCACAGCACATTTTCAAAATTTAGGAGCATGACCACAATTCCACAAACTCAAGCTAGTAGCATACGTTCAAAACAAATTTTAATCGTCTTCTTATAAAAACTATGAGTCCCTTACAACAACATCTGAACGAACTTCTTCCCAATCACAAGCCAGCAATCGACCAGAACGTGCCAAACCACTTTGTATTTCATCAGCAATCATCAATATATTGTACTTTGAGCAAAGATCTCTAACAGCCTTCAGGTAACCTTCAGGCGGAATTATAACCTGGTAAGGAAGAAAAATATCATGTATGGTACAGAATAAACACAATACTTTTCCATTGGGTCAAGTGACAATAAACATATAGTAACAAGACTTCATTATCTTCCTGCCGGAGTGCCCTTTCCAGGTGGCATGAACAAAACATTAAGCAAATAAAAGGCAATGGAAAAGATTGAAAATGCCAACACCGATTTCAGGTTGAGGTAAGGTAGAGCCCTCTCCAAGCAAATATTTGTAAATTTGTTGTTATAACATATTAGATATGATCTTAGACACTATGCATTTCTAAATGGTCACATTGGTTGAAGAATACACATACCCCAGCCTCTCCCTGAATTGGTTCAAACAAAAAGCCAGCTATCTGATCTCCTTTCTCTGAAACCATAATAGTGAAAAACAATGAGCTTCAACAACTATGTTTGCAATTAGAAGTATGTATTTGACCACCATTACTTTGGCAAGACAGATTCATCACCTTTACAGGCACGACCTTTTTACATACCTTTAAATAATTTTTCAAGGGCAACAGCATCTCCAAAATCAACTTTAAGTTGCCCAGGTAATAGGGGCCAAAAGCCACGAGTAGCTTCATTGTCACAACTCATGGAGATTGCAGCCAATGTCCGACCATGGAAGCAGCCACAGCATGAGACAATGATAACCTGCAAATGAAAAATTTAAACAAAATATACTGAAAAGTTCTGACAGATTTCCGGGTCAATCTTAGTAAAGAGGACATGGCATTTCATGGTGCCGTTAGGAAACTTTAAGCTGAAGTTCAATTATGTATGACCGGAAACATACAGTTGACTTGAATTTGAAAGTAGGAATACACCATAAAACTGGATCAGCAGGTTCTGGACTCAACTTTCATAACATTTACATAACAGCCGCTAACTTTTGTAAAACTTTGGATAACTTAAATGGGGGGAAACCAGCTGAAGTAAAAAGATCTTCCAACTTTCTGAATTCACACAATATGTTGACAAAGTTACACAAAATGTTCCACAAGTAAGAGAAAACTTTTCAGAAGTTAATTCTGAAATCTGATGTCTCCAATTTTAAAAAATCTTCATTAAGCGCAATCAAGATTGACTAGTCATGTCTGAACATAGCAGAGGAAATGACAGAGAGCAGTGAACATAACTCTTTGCAACCCCAATTAAGTTATCCAAAGTTTTACAAAAGTTAGCGGTGGTTACAGTTGACTTGAATTTGAAAGTAGGAATACACCATAAAACTGGATGTAGCAGGTTTTGGACTCTAACTTTCATAACATTTATATAACCACCGCTAACTTTTGTAAAACTTTGGATAACTTAATTGGGGAGAAACCAGCTGAAGTAAATGTTGACAAAGTTACACAAAATGTTCCACAAGTAAGAGAAAACTTTTCAGAAGTTAATTCTGAAATCTTCAGTCTCCAATTTTAAAAAAATCTTCATTAAGCGCAATCAAGATTGACTAGTCATGTCTGAACATAGCAGAGGAAATGACAGAGAGCAGTGAACATAACTCTTTGCAACCCCAATTAAGTTATCCAAAGTTTTACAAAAGTTAGCGGTGGTTACAGTTGACTTGAATTTGAAAGTAGGAATACACCATAAAACTGGATGTAGCAGGTTTTGGACTCTAACTTTCATAACATTTATATAACCACCGCTAACTTTTGTAAAACTTTGGATAACTTAATTGGGGAGAAACCAGCTGAAGTAAATGTTGACAAAGTTACACAAAATGTTCCACAAGTAAGAGAAAACTTTTCAGAAGTTAATTCTGAAATCTTCAGTCTCCAATTTTAAAAAAATCTTCATTAAGCGCAATCAAGATTGACTAGTCATGTCTGAACATAGCAGAGGAAATGACAGAGAGCAGTGAACATAACTCTTTGCAACCCCAATTAAGTTATCCAAAGTTTTACAAAAGTTAGCGGTGGTTACAGTTGACTTGAATTTGAAAGTAGGAATACACCATAAAACTGGATGTAGCAGGTTTTGGACTCTAACTTTCATAACATTTATATAACCACCGCTAACTTTTGTAAAACTNAAAGAAGATAATCGATGATGATAGTTCTTATTACACACTTGGTTTCCACAAGGGTGATTTTTAAAGTATGGCAATAAAAGAAATGAACTTGCCACTGCACTCGAGGGTGTGGCCTAGTGGTCAATGAAGTGGGAGGAGAACCATGAGGTCTCAGATTCAAATCCTAGCGGAGGCAAACAACACTTACTGATTTCTTCCCATCTGTCTGAGTCTTGGTGGTTAAAGTTATCTGGTACCTATGCTGGTGGGAGGCAGTAGGTATTCAATAAAATTGTCAAGGTGCACACAAGCTGGCCCTGACACCACCATCATTAGAAGGAAAAAAAAAACAAGAAAAAGGAATGAACTTGCCACCATCATCAAAAGCTATGTTGGCCATTCAGTTTAGACCCTGTAAATTCATTCTTATTTTCTCCATCTTCCCCAAGTTGTCGGAAAGATTGCTTCATTCAGCTGATATAACAACCATTGAATTGCATAAAATGCCTCATTTAAAGGCTTAATCTGTCAAAGAAAGAACATTTTTAGTTCTTTATTGTAGGTCTGCAACACACTCATGTGTCATCCCGATTTCTTCTCTTAGGTCAAGCATGTGGAAATTTTTTATGACTGGTGGTGGCTAGACAGCAACCCGGAACCCTTTGTCTGCTTGAACTATGTGAATCACCTCATTTAAAAGTTTAAGTTGTTAGACGACGTGCATTATTATTCTTTCTTCAGGTCTGCAACTATGGATTATCGCCTTACCTAGCTCTTACGCAAGTTTTGCTGTTCTTCATTAGCTCTCTTTCAATCATTTTTTCTTTTCTTTTTTTTTT